CATGTAGTCGACCGCGGTTCGCGTCCCGGACCTGGTGGCTTAAAACTCACGCCGGGCACGTGTGCGTGCGTGCCCAAGATCCCGAGAGGAGAATGGAGGAGAAGGAGAAGGGATTGAGGCGTGCCCATCCCCTCTGGGGGGTGATTTCTCGCTTTCTGTTTCTATGTCTCTCTGTCTGTCTGGCGAGCGCACGCGTCCTACAGTGAAAATCTCTCTCAAAAAAAATAAATAAATAAAAATAAAAAACAATCCAATAAAAAATGACCAAAATGCTCTGAAGATGAACTTCACAGTAGAGAAAACCCAAATGACTTATAACCATTTGAAAAAATACTGGATGTTGGGACCAGCAGTTAGCATAATGGCTATGTCGGTGGACTCCCATGTAGTCAACCAGGTTCAAGTCCCAGACCCAGTGGCTTAAAACTCACACTGGGCATGTGTGTGTGCATGCCCAAGATCCTGAGAGGAGAATGGAGGAGAAGGGATTGTGGGATGGCCATCCCTCCTGGGGGGTGATTTCTTGCTTTCTGTCTCTCTGTCTTTCTAGTGAGTGCACACGCCCTATAGCAAAAAAAAAAAAAAAAAAAAAAAAACCTGGATGTTATTAACAAGCATGGAAATGCCAACTGAAGTAAGATGTCTAACTGCGCTCAAAGTCAGGAGAAGCAATGACGTGTACTGTCGTGAGGTTGTTTCTAACGTCTTTATGGAGATGGAATTCACATGCCATAACACCACCCATTCGAAATGCACAATTTAATGGCTTTGAGTATTCAGAGTCATGCAATCACACGATCTAAGTTTAAGACATCTCTATGGGAACCAGCAGTTAGCGTAATGGCTATGTTGCTGGACTCCCACGTAGTCGACGCGGTTCGCGTCCCGGACCCGGTGGCTTAGAATTCACACCGGGCGCATGTGTGTGTGTGTGCCCAGGATCCCGAGAGGAGAATGGAGGAGAAGGGATTGTGGCGTGACCATCCCCCCTGGGGGGTGATTTCTCATTTTCTGTCTCTATGTCTCTCTCTGTCTGTCTGGCAAGCACACCCGCCCTATAGAAAAAACCTCTCAAAAAAAAAAAAAAAAAAAGACATCTCCATGACCGCAAAAAGACACTCCTCACACTTCATTCTCCAAACTCCCAGCCCTAGACAACCACTGATCTACCTTCTGTCTGTATAGGTTTGCCTATTCGGGACATTTAATATCCACAGAATCAGATAATATAGCTTTTTTTGTGACTGACTTCTTTCACTGAACTTTTTTTAGAATTATTTCTTTAATTTTATTTATTTTAAAAATTATTTTATTTACCTTTATTTATTGTTATTATTATTTTCCAATTTGACCAGAGAGAGACAGAAAGAGAGAGAGAAAGTGAGAAAGCAAGCCACCAGGTTTGGAACTGCAGTCAGCAGTATGGGAGTCCAGTGCCCTTAACCACCACACCACCTGCCAGCCCCTTATTTATTTTTTAAGAGAGATTTTTGCTATAGGACACATGCTCTTGCCAGGGAGACAGAGACAGAGAAACAGAAAGGAAGAAATCACCCCCCCCCCAGAGAAGATGACCATGCCGCAATTCTTTCTCCCCTATTTTCCTCTCAGGATTTTGGGCACACATGCACAAGCACCCAGTGTGAGTTTTAAGCCACTGGGTCCAGGGCTCGAACTGCAGTCAACTACATGGAGTTCAGCGGTGTAACCACGATGTATCATCTGCTGGTCCCAAGTATTGTTTTTTTATCTTCTACAGATCATGTGTGCTCACCAGAGAGAGATAGAGAGAGAGAGAAAGTGAGAAAGCCAGTTGCCAGGCCCAGGACTCAAACCATGGTCAGCCATAGAGGAGTCCAGTGCCTTAACCACCATGCCACCTGATTCATACATGTTGAAGCATGCATAAGTAGTTCATTTTTTTAATTGCTGAACAACATTCCATCATATGGATACAATACATCTTGTTTTTTGAACATCAGTTGATGGATTTGGGGGTTGTTTCCAAACACATTTTGGCTATCATGAATAATGCTGTTATAGACTATAAGCTTCTTATACTATATTTAGACTTGATAAATAAGATATTTCCCCAGTGGGATATTCCTGAGGAGCTCAAACCCCTGGTTTCCATATCCATTCAGGTCATGCTTTTATGGTGATCGTCAACTCAGTTACCATCAGGATTGGAATCAACAAGATGGCCCTAGTTAATCCCCTGAGCTGCAGATTTATTCTTTCTTGCTCTCACTTTATAGCAGCCACTTTATCCGAGGCCAGTAGTACTATGAGCAAGTGACCATCTCGCCTGAGGCACGAGGGAGCTGGGGTATTTAGCCACCAGCCCTCAACAGTTATTGGCTGCAGATTGCAACGGGTGGGAGTATGATCCCCCAGAACTTTCACCCTGCCCAGCGTGCTGCCCAGCAGGTCCCAGTGGCCAGGGAGTACTCTCAGATAAAACACTGCAGGTCCTAGCAGCTGGAAGTTCGTCCAGTGTACCCAGAGCTTAGGGAATACAGGAGAGAGGGCAGAGGCTGTCACCAGAAGACAGAGCAGGAGACAGCACCTCACGATGGAGCAAATCAAAATTATAATGAGAGGCCACTTCTCATTCCTGAAGATGGCGACTCTTCAAAAGAGCAAAAGAGGGGCCAGCAGGTGGTGTGGTGGTTAAGCTTGATAAATAAGATATTTCCCCAGTGGGATATTCCTGAGGAGCTCAAACCCCTGGTTTCCATATCCATTCAGGTCATGCTTTTATGGTGATCGTCAACTCAGTTACCATCAGGATTGGAATCAACAAGATGGCCCTAGTTAATCCCCTGAGCTGCAGATTTATTCTTTCTTGCTCTCACTTTATAGCAGCCACTTTATCCGAGGCCAGTAGTACTATGAGCAAGTGACCATCTCGCCTGAGGCACGAGGGAGCTGGGGTATTTAGCCACCAGCCCTCAACAGTTATTGGCTGCAGATTGCAACGGGTGGGAGTATGATCCCCCAGAACTTTCACCCTGCCCAGCGTGCTGCCCAGCAGGTCCCAGTGGCCAGGGAGTACTCTCAGATAAAACACTGCAGGTCCTAGCAGCTGGAAGTTCGTCCAGTGTACCCAGAGCTTAGGGAATACAGGAGAGAGGGCAGAGGCTGTCACCAGAAGACAGAGCAGGAGACAGCACCTCACGATGGAGCAAATCAAAATTATAATGAGAGGCCACTTCTCATTCCTGAAGATGGCGACTCTTCAAAAGAGCAAAAGAGGGGCCAGCAGGTGGTGTGGTGGTTAAGGCGCTGGACTCCCATATGGCCAACCATGGTCGAGTCCTGGGAAAACCTTGAGGACATTATCTAAAATGAAATCAGTCACACAAAAAAGATAAATACTGTATTATTCCACTTACGTGAAACGGAGTAATCAGAGTCATAGAGACAAAGTAGAACAGCGGTTGCCAGGCGCTGGGAGGGAGCATGAATTATTGTTCAAGGGGCTGAGATTCATTTTCGCAAGACGAATGCTAGAGATTGATAGTGGTGATGGTTGCACATTATAAATGTACACGATGGGAAGGTAAAGATGGTAACTTTATGTTATCTACATTTTTACTTTTACTAAGATAACATAAAAAACAAAAATAACCTACAAACATCATGACCGCTACTGGCTAAGGGTATGGAGGCAGGAGAATGACAGGAGGGACTTCTGTCGGTGACGCAAGACCAGAAAGATGGAGGAGGAACTAAAGACCAAGTCTGAGGTCCCAGAAGCCAGGAATTGAGGCTGCTAGGGCTATATGTGCAGGAGGGCCCACTCTAGGGGTCAGGCCTTCTGGCCAGCCCCTGGCAGTCAAGGCTGGGGCTTCTGCAGGCCTTTTGTGTCCTCCGGCCCCTCGGGAGACACTAGCAGGGCAGAGAGTGACTTGAGTGGGTAGGCGGAGTTGGTGACTAGGTATGAGCTGAGATCTGGGAGGGTCATTTTGGAAGACAGAGGAGAGGTTGGGTGGAGCCCCTTTAATAAGTATGGAAGGTTTTCTGTGGGAGGGTGGGATCTCAGTGGGTGAAAGGGACCTGGCTGAGAAATCAGAACAGGTTAAATGGAGGACTGGAAGCAAGTGGGAGCATGTGAGACATCAATGGGGAGACCCAGGGCAGCAGAAAAGCTAAGCCTATGGCTCCATTTCGCCCACTTTCGGGTGAACGCTGCAGGGTCCTGCTGACCTTGCACGGCATCAGCCATGAGGCCAACCCTTAGGCCAGCCGGCTGTGGGGTGGTGTGAGGTATCGGTTGCCACCCCTTGCAGGTGCCTGGGCACCACCGCCGGCGCTGGTTTTGCGGCTGGGTGCCTCCACGGAGTCCAGGTTCCAGCTGCAGGTCTACTCGCCACTCTGTCCTGAGCGTCCGGGCACCCGGGCTCCTCTGGCTTATTCCAGATTCCCATCCTCCATCCCCAGCGGTGCAGACGAGGCAAGCTCGCGCACACACAGATACGCGGTCTCGGACCGCTCCTCTGCCTCCGGGGTTACAGCCTAGGGCTGCTGTCAGTCAGAACGCTGAGAGCAG